TAGAAGTACTGATGTGCAATTAAATTAAAGGCACGCTCCGCGATTAGGCGCGCTCGCCTCCATCCCGGGGTAGTAGGCAGGCGGACAAGCGTTGATGTCGCGCCCCTTTTGCCGCTTGAAAGTGCGCGACAAAGCAAGGAGCTCGTCCGACCCGCAACTCACACCTTCGTCCGCAAGCCCCACCCTCCGCTGTCGGTTGCCACGTGGCGCTGCTTGAAAAGCGCGGGCGCATTTGAGGCAGCGGTCCCATTGCGACCCAATGTTATTGGCACTGGAGCAACTAGAGTTAGGTTCGTGAAACTCGTCCAACGCGCCCTTCTCTATCCCAAGGTGGAATGCGGCTGAAAAGGGGAGGTCTCTGTGCGGGGCGTAATCGGTGGTTTCGTTTGCTTTCCTTCTCTTTTCCAGACCACCTCCCACCTATAGCTTCATAACTGAACGCTTTTCCACACCTATTCATGCCTTTAAGAGATAGCGGAATCCGGCAATGACTACGGAGATTCAAATGAACTTACATGGATGGGCTTGCGACAGGCGGATTATCCAACGAAGACGGATTGGACTTGGACGGACGGCACACCATTTGATTACAAGAACTGGGCTCCCAAGCAGCCCGACAACGATCATGGTACGGAGCACTGCGCCCAGGTAAGATATGACGTTTTGTGGCGGAAACTACAGGGTGGCGAAAAAGCACGTGCGCGTGCCATTTGTCTCAATTCTAAGCATAGTATATGTACATTCAACCAAATAACAAAATGCGATGAACTGAGTAGTTGAAGTGTTGTGGTTGAAATGTTAAATATATGGGACCCTCGCCAAGGTCAACCGTCACGTTGGACCAATTTCGAAAATTTTACGACCCCCTCCCCTCTGGAGGGCCTCGATACGACCCCCCCCTCAGGGTTAACCCTTCACGACCATCCTCCACCACCCTCGCCTGCCATGGGGCGATTCTATAGTATTTGATTTCTGAGACCAGTCGACACAGCCCAACTCCGCCCACTTTTCCCTCCAAAATTGCCGTCGAGCGGGGGGGGGGTTATATCAACCCAAAAGCCCAGCCTACAATGACCCATTCTTCGTTTCATAAAAACATCCTCTTCTGTTACTGTAACACTGACGCTACCTCGCTACCTCGCGAAATACGACGCCTCCCCTTTTTCCACCCCCAAATACTACCACTCACCCTCTCACCTCCCTGACCCAGGCTTTCAAGATTACCCACTTTCAGATTATTTGCTCTTCTATTTTTCTATCCAATCCCCCTGATTCCTGTCCACACTTTCCTTTTTTCCAGGAATATTTACTCATGGTTCTTTTGTAGATATACAGCGACTACACTGGAAAGGATCCGACAAAGGACAACAGTTATCGGCACTGGAACGACATTCCGTGTGCAACGACCATGAGAGCTTTTGTTTGCAAAAAAGCGGCTTTGCATTGATATTGCTAACATTTTTGAAAATAATAAATCGTTTGTAAGATGATGTATTCTGGTGTAAAATATAAACATAAATTATTATATATTTTATGTCATACTAACCGTAACGTCAACTGAACCTTAACTTTCTTCTTTATTTCTTAGTAGCGTTTATTCCTATCCATAAGCCCAGATCGACGGTTTTGTAGGGGGGTGTCCACCACCTTTCCTATGCAGGGCACCTTTCTAACGTCTCTTTACCATAGGAGGTTCATCTGATGGCATCCCTTCACTTCTTCTTTGAGACCCCTCGTAATCGCTTCCTCCCTACGTCGAGGCATTAAGCTTTCCTTCTCCTTTCTTACTTCCCGTTCTGTGACCCACGCAGCATGTATCCAACTGACTCGAGAAAAGTGGCTTGTGCCTTTTCAGTGGACACGCTCTCCGACAATTACGACCAGAGGAAACCTGTTCTTCGAAGTTCAAATGTCTCCAGATGTCTAGCATCTCAAATCAGAGAACGACAATGCTTCTTCAGTGGTTCCTGCTTCTAACTGGCAAATCTACAGCGTATAGATCATGTGTCTGCCTTTTTAGAGACCAACCACCCTCCGTGTCATCTGCATTCTAAACTGGTACGACCTGAGTCCACACTACCGGCAAGTGTTAGATCGCATCCCAATTATCCACTCTCTAGGTAATCTTATTTGTGCAGATGGGTATACTTGTTCCGTGCCTACTATTATCGGCCCATTTAAGAACATAATCTTATCAAATTTGTCTTGAAGCTTTAAAATTAATGTCGATCCCCGTGTTCTAGTCGCCCTCTAGCAGAATGAGAAGTAGCGAATGTACTCATTCGCCGTTCATCTAACACTGCACTCGTTCGATCTCCATCAGGAGATTCCAAAACTTATCATGGTGTACAGCTTTTGAAAACCTACTCCACAGAGGCACCTGACTATCTATCAGGGTGAATAACGGTCGAGGAATTCCTCGACCATGGCTCTCTACTGTGCGAGAGTAGTGCCGAGAGTGAACATCCGCGCGGAGAGCACAGACGGCTCGCGGGTGGCGAGAGTGAATGTCCGCGCGGGAGAGCGTGACTGATCAGGCAAAATCCTCGACGAGCCGTTGAGGTTTCCTCGACCGATTTTCACCCTGCTAGCTATCCAAGCTGAATTCAGCGCCTGTCCTGCCACAGAAATTCGCACAATTCAGATCTGGCTGGCCTAAATGGGAATCGACCCCGAATTTTCCAATCTCCCCTCCCCCTCCCCTCCGACCGTCCGTATTCGGTGGTGTAACCCATCACTACATAACTTCCACCACTACCGCCCAATGGCCCGATGGCTTTGAAAATGTCTGTTTTGTTCTTTTTACACTTATCGAGTCAGGACACCAATCAATATCTCTAATTTTTGACACATTTTTTCCTTCTCCGATGCTGCTCATGAACAATCGCCAGCAGGCGCGCAGGCGCTGATAAGACGAATAGATCGAAATGTGGTGGCTGCCACTTGTCGTCGTTCTGCCTTTGGCATCATCCAGTTGCCCGTTTGGTTTCGTCTATCAGGAGCAGTTCAACAGGTGAGCTTGAGCTATCGGCTCATCTAACGGAACTCCTAAAAAAATAAAACGAATAAAATGACAAATAATACATAGTAAAAAGTAGACGAGCTAAAAAAATTCCGAAAATCATACTTGCCTATGTGGCCTGATTTTATAGAGATTCAACAGAGAAATTTAGATGCTACAAGTTCACCAAGACCCATCAAAGCTTCTATATGGCCGAGGAAACCTGCCAAGAGACAAGCGCCCATCTTGTCTCGATTTTCAGCTCAGCCGAGAACTCTTGGCTTTCAAGTGGGTGATTTTGAGAAAAACTATGCCAATTCCGTTGTATCACATATTTTAAAATTTTATCAAAATATTTATTTCCTTTCTTTACCTACGTTCAGATTTATTTCTGAACTTCCCCGAGACCCTTTTGGGCAGCCTTAATTTCCGTTATGAAATCGCAATTTCCCAGACGTCTTGTATTGAGAATAAGTGTGTGTTCAGAATGCATGTTACCGTAATTCCACTTAAAGTGTTAGGTATAGAGATCCAACATGAAAGATTAACGTCACTAGAATGGAGCAAACAAAGCATGACTCCAGGAAATGTCCATATCTATATTGAGTAAAGCTACCATTTACCCCGAATGACCACTTTCTGATCTGTTTCCGTTGACAAACATCCAAACATCACCAAAGAACAGAAGCTTGTATGTCTGAGATACTACATACTTACTTAAAACACCTTTTAGAAACGCATAAGCAATCGGTTGAAAATAACGATGAAGTTCCCTACTGGGGGCATCCGCTTGTAGAGCTCTACTAGTGGAATATAGAGATTTCGTGGCAGAGAGTTCAATGTTAAAGGCACTCAATTTCGAAGTGTTCACGAGTCGTAATATACAATTTTCTTCTTTCTTCTTCTGTTAGACCCTCGTTTTGTGTCACCTTCAAAATTGTATGTGATCCATACCTCATATGGCATCAGATGCCAGCATGCAGCTAAATAAGACCAAGTCTAGATGTGTTATGCAGTACTACTTATTATATAGTATTTGAATACCAGTTCCACTGAAAACGCCAAATCCGAAAACGGATGATGACTTTCAAGAAACACATTGAGCTTGTGCCATCAGTCGTACCGTCCCAACAATTAGGATTACATGTCACGGTGGACTCTCGCTAAGAAAGCCGGCTTCCTCAATATGTGAAAAATTGACCTCTGTGAAGTCAGTAAAAATGAAATTCGCCCTAAAATTGTTGGTGCCTTCACCGCTTCATCAATTTCTTTTCTGTTCGCGAGAACCGAGACGGAAATACAGTAGCTTTTTTTAGTGTACGCGTCGCAGCAAGGTATAAAAGGTCCATTCTACACGGGCCTGAATCGACTCTCCCAAAGCGACTGGGCATGGACCGACGGCAGTGGGCTCAGCTACTCCAGATGGGCACCAGGTATGGTCTTCTTTAACAGATGATTAGTATGTACATGCAAGGCAAAGTGACAAAATCAAACCGGGAGCGTGTCGTAATCCAAAGACGTAAAATCAGCGCCAGTCGCATGCTCTTTATTGTCCAGAGTAAGTACGGCCGCCATTCCCTATTTCTGCACTCCATCGTCCTTTTGTGCTGAGGTTTGTTAAATAACGATTGTTCAGGAGAGCCGAACACTAGCGCTCAATGTGCAGCTGAGAATTCAACAGATGCCACATGGGTCAGTGTGTCCTGCTCTGACGCTTATCCATACGTATGTGTTCAACAGTTGACGGTCCCGACGACGCCGACTTGTCCGCCACCACAGCAGCCTACGACCTGTCCAGCTTGCCCTGGTATGCTGCAATTTTCTCACTGGATCACATTATGGAACCACTGAAAAAAGACTTGAAAGCAGTCACTCAGAAGGCCTTGTCAGTCTAGCAACAAAACTCCCCAAAGAACAGCCTGTCTTTCCAGCCTGTTTACTTTTTAAATGACTTGCAGAGGGGAATTCCTGAATCTGCTGCTTCTTTATTCCATGTGGGTTTACATTTTTGCTTAAAAGCAGCGATCCCGAAAAGTTCACAGACGGGTTTATTTGCTGACATGGTGATGCTCATGATTCAGAAGGTCGAAAAAGCGAAAAAAAGCGTCAAGAAAACGCAAAACGGGACCCCCTTTTTGGGCGTTGGTTTTCACTCATCAACAGGTAACAAGTGAGAAAGAGGAGTTATGGAAGAGTTCACTGCGCAACAGCTTCTTTATGGCACCAATTGCCAAATCAAGCTTTAATCGAGATGCTCCATTTGCGCCGCAGCCTGACCACGCAGCTCGTCCAAATCAACAACTAAAGCTGGTGGGCGGATCGCTTTTGGGGGAGTTGCTTTCGAAGTCCTGTCAGCAACCAGCGCACCTTTCGTTGTGAAAACGCCACAGCTCGCTTCTTGGCAGCCAAGTAACTGTTTCGTGTGGTGTATATGCATCCCCGATGCGCTTCCTCTTTATTGCCATCGTTTCCTTTAATTATTTAACCCTATCCTGCTACCATGGGGCAAGTCTTCGAGCAGGAGCTGTTTTTCAAAATACTGGGACCAAAATTTTGAGGAAATTTGTATTTTTGTGTTTACTAAAGAGAACTAAAGATGTGCGTTCAGCTGTACCAGGACACTGCCCCTCTGAGTGGACCTATTATTCGAAAACCGATGCTTGCTACAAGGTAACTATTCAAAGAAGTTAGTTATTATCTCGCAGGCATTTTAAACGCATTTTGACTTGTAAAATCCTATACCCGAGATTTTTAATCAAGCGTGGCCCTTCACCAAAATGTTTGGGATGAAATAAGCATGAACCATGATTTCAGGCATTCTTGGATTCAGCTTTCGACCAAGCCGAAACCGTATGTCAGTCAACAGGAGGACATTTGACGTCTATCCACAGTGATGAAGAGACGTTTTTGTTTCAAGTGGGCTCTAAAGTGCTTTTTTCAAGCAATCGATACTAATCGGTGATTGATTTTTTGAAGTTTAGGCTTGACACACATGGGCATTGAGTATAGAACTGAGAAGCACCTGACATGGATTGGTTTGAGAAAGCCCAGCTTCCCAGCTAATAGCACGTGGGTATGGACCGATGGATCTGTGGTTGACTATCTTCTGTGGGCTCCTGGGAAACCACAAGACATCACTGCGTAATAACTTGTGCTCAGGTCTAATCGCTGTTTGTCCAGTTACTTTATTGAGTTCAGGTTGCGGGAGTCAAACCTGTTGTCTCAAAAGTGGTGCAGCTTGACAGCCTTTTGAACTTCTTGAATCTTTTTGTTCAAGATTAACACTTACTCGCTACAGATCTGACAAAAGACCGGATTTTTCGAAACGTTGAATGATTCCGCAGTGCGCCATCCATGCGTGCGTACGTCTGCATAGCAAAGCCGCACGTCCACTGATAGAAAACGTTTGAAAATTCCATGAACTTTTGAAGGAGACGCTATGTAATGTTCGACAGAGACTGGGCATCCTGATGCACAAAATATGGACACTAAACTGGCTACGTGAACTTGTCCCAGAAAGTTTTGTGTCTTCAAAAGTTGGCACAAAACGTTGAGGCGACTTACTGAGAATCACGGATGCTTTTTTGTTGGATTTCTTGTTCTATAAGGGTTAATGGGTGCCCTGATTACGAATTATGAGACTCGTTTTTAGCGCAGAGCCACGGCGAGCGTGATTCCATCAGGTAAGCTCGCCTCAGTAACGTTTTTTGCCAACTTTGAAAGGCTCGTAACTTTCTTAGGAAGTTCACGTAGCAGTTTTAAGTGTCCATATTTGTAATCAGCGTTCAAGACTCTATCGAGTCATCTAGGTCTCCTTCAAAGTTCCATGGGAAGTTCAAAGCATTTCCTGGTGAGAAAACATCTATTATTGGAATAAATATATTTCACTCACACTTTGCGTGGTCTAACACTGCACCATTGGTAGCGCACAGACATATTTCGATTCTAATGTATTAGATGAGCTTCGTTACAAGCAATTCAAAACGTATTAATGTGGTCCCTATGACCAATGGAGGCCCATTCCATTATTGAAAGGTGTAATGTACTTTTTGTTGTAATAAAATTTCTCGACAAGTGATGTGTAGTCATATTTGCGAAACGGTGAAAATACGTTCTAAAGAAGATATTTCAATAATTCTGAATCGAGATTTCTCCAGAAAATCGAGTATCAAGGTTTTTCGTTATGGGGAAACTATTGGTAATAGCGGCATTTTCCCAAAAATGCACAGCAACTTTGGAATAGCAAAAATTTAGGGTGGACCTATATTTATGAAACGCAGTGTATTTTAGGTCTATTCCTAGGGTGGTCATATGAGTACTTTCCATCCATGATGGTCATGTTTAGAGGCATATCCAAACCTACTAGACTGTGGTATGGAATAGAGATAATTAGGAAATATAAATTCAGAATATTCTGCAACGCAGGTAATTTTTAGAGGCAGAACTCCAACGCGTCTGTGATTTCTAAAGCGAAAATTCAGGGACCTATTCAACTTGAAAAAATGCCACAGCTCTAATTGAGACAGCATATGTTGAAAATGCCGTGTGAAGGCCCTGCTCAAACATGAAAGGTTTCGGTTAGTACAAACGCTTTGGTTTTCAGTTCTCTTTTATCTTTTCACTCTCGTCCCCTCGTTGTCGGATCTCTCTTGTGTGTCCTCTCCTCGTCGCCAGCTCGCGTACAATATCCTAAATAAGGTTCAGAATACTACTTTCGACTGTTTTTTGTTTTGTTTGTGTGTTGTTCTTCCATCCCAGGTCACACAGGACCTACTATTCTGAGTCGCGAAAATGACTTTACCTCTACGATTGCAGGCTTTAGCACTCTCGTTCGAGTTATGGGGAAACATTGTCCAATATCACTAAAGCGAATAGCTGTGAAAAACAACGTCATTGCGTACTCGACAATTCTTTGGATTTCAAAAATAAACTACGATATTCTCTTTATCTATTTTTAATCCATCCAGTGAACGCGTAAAATGTAAAACAGCATATGATTATAAACGCCGGTAAAATAGAGTTCTAGTCAAAGTTGCTCAATAGGAGCAAACATGGAGAGGCTTACATGGAGGTGTTGGTACCTACAAACGCAGTATAGCTGCAACCGGGCAGCTTACCTTTTTGTTAAAAAACATTCACCAGAGGCGATATTCGCTCCCAATGCTTCTTTTAGAGTTGTTTTGTTTTTGTGCACCAAAATTTCCAGTAGATATAATATTTATTATAACAAAGGTTTGAAAAGGAGGATTAATCTGAAACAGGTCAATGAATTTTGTGTGGCTGGGAGGAGGTAAACTGCTATCACTTCGTTAACAGCGCTAGCGTCCCTTTGCCGCGCCTCTTGGAGCCTCCCCCTCCCAGCGCATTTCTCTGGATTTCAACGGCTTTTCCCTATTATCCCCCCACCACTGCCTTGAGAACACGGTCCTCTGCTTTGAGAAGACCCAGTGATTTCTTTCCCTATTGGTCCTTTTTGAAAACTCTGCTTGAATTTTTCAATGTGAAATAGTACACTGCCTCAAGGTGGAGTTAACGAATAGAAGGTAGCTCACTAGAAACCGAGGTAGAGGTCCTCAGTGATGCAAGGATGAGAAAATCCAAGGAAAATGGCTGAGAACCCTGAAAAATGACCGAGTGATTAAGGCCATGTATCTTCGGTGCTGACCTCATCAAACGTTAACGATACTTCTGCCCAAGATTAAAATGTTCCCTCGCGGCGCCCCCATACCGTAACCCCCATTGGCGCCGTAGCGCAGTTGCAAGCCTCCAGTGCGCAGCGCTAAGGGAGCTACGTGAGGCCAACATACGTAACGCTCCATCCTCCACCTCCTACATTAACGACGCTCGGTTTGCCGAGCTTTGCTCGACACATTTCTCTCCTCGTTAAGAGGACGCAGAGAAAACGAGAAGTGGAAGGCGAGCACGCATGGAAAATCGATGGCACGAAATATGCGAGACAAATTTGCGCGTGTGGTAGGGTGTTGTTGTGGGCCTGCACCACCAACATCGAACCTGACGGCTAATTTCCGCGTGTTGGTTTACGGTACCGAAGCGCTGCAAGGGAACGTTATAATCTACATACGTCTGCTAAAGCGGATAGAGTCAGACTACGGGGGGTGGGTCTAGCCGGCGGCGCCTGCCCGCTGCGCTGCAAGCATGTACTTGCAAAACCCGCATCGTCCTGCACCCTGCCTTTTCATTGGGAATACCTTCTTTTCTTCAGCCTCCAACTTTATCGTGGAATCCTCTTCTAACTCTGCCATGTGCATTCGAATCAATGGAGGAGCAATAGAGTGACTACTAGTTTACTATATTGAGCTCCGATTATTTGGTGACTAGCATTAATGTATAAGCTTATACTCATTCTAGCTCATTAATGTATCACGAAAAGATTGAAGTCAAGCAAAAGCTGAAGATGTACGGTGCGTGTCGGCTAGCCTTGTACCAATGACAAGGCTGCTCGTTTGCTCCCGGGGTTTCCTCAATTTCAGAAAAACGAGGATGAAGTTTTTGTATTCCTTCACGAATGCGATTATAACTATTGGATTGAAAACTGGAAATAAGGCAACATCATGAAAGCCGAGCTCGTGATAATAGGCGTTGAGTCAAGACCGCAAAAAGCAAGAACATAGCAATGCAATACCCAATCACCAGGAAGACGACTGGACACGCAGCCTGAAAATGTGCGAATGCGAGAGTAATCTTAGCTGCATATTCATAGTCCCAAACCACTTTTCGAGTTCCCTTGCGAAATGGATGATACCCTCTTGCATGCCCTCTCTGCTGCTCCATCGCGTGAAACACGATTGAATATTCATGAACAATGCTTTATTGATAAACATATAGCTGTAGGAATTTTTATGGTACATCCAGGGACATTATATATTAATATCGAATTTTGATATATGAAATTGATAATAATAATAATGACAATAACAATAATAATAATAAACAATATTGGTAACAGGAAGTCAATTCTGTGTGTACCATTGTCGCAGTGTATGTGGTTGTCACTTGCTCCCAGTTCAATTCCACTGCTGACTGCATGATGCCGCGGAGTGTCCTCTCAAAAGCATTGTGGAGAGGGGGCAGAAGCTCTTTTGCGCAAGAGCTTGTTTAGAACCTCTCTTCATTCCTATGGCGCCCCACATGGGATACCCTATCACGATTAGACCGAGGCAACGATTAGCTCTTCATTTGGGTGCATGAGGACGGGAAGAGTGGCACCACAGTATCGGGCTGGGCACTTTTCACCTTCTGTACAGGAGCGTTGATCTTTTGAGAAGGCTATGATTTCACGAACTGGACCAGGCAGTCACAACGAACAACGATCTTGCAATCGAAATTGGCCGGGCCGTAAGGCGCGATGGGCATTATTCAATAAGCTTCGTGCTTTTCTTACCGAAGCTTTGGCTTGAAGGTCTGATCAAAGCTCCAGTGTTCAACACCCAGGTAATACCAGCTTCAGTGTATGGACGCGACATAGGGAAGACGAGCAGAGAAGAGTGGCATCTACTCCGACGCGCGCTGTATCGACAATGTAAAAAATTTCGGACTGCCAGATTAGAAGGAGTACGTAGTCAAAGATGCCATTGAGACCATTCATGATTAGAGGATGGGCAGGACATGTCAACGATAACTGTTGGACGTTCCGGTAACCGTTTGGTTCCCCAAGCTTTACCGCAGATTTTTCCGAGATTTAAGATGGAAGAGTTTACAGGATGTTAATAGCGAGTTTATCGTAAGGGCACAAGTCATTTGAGCGATTCCTTATGGTCTGGAATAGACCCTTAGAGGAAAAGCATAGATGTGGCGCTCCCGTGTATGGGAATTTCCAGTCAGTAGCATAAGGTCAATGTCAAAGTAATGGACAAAGTCAGCTGCAGCAGCTGCAATGCCGCGTCCTACAGCAGGCTGTTGTCTGGCGCCCTCTCATCTGTAGCGCTCTCTCGCCTCATACTCTCCTCTCCGCGCTCAGTCTCTCACTGCCTTAGCACAGCCGCATTACGAAGGTGAGCAAGCCCTTAACATTGCGTTTTCCTCTTTTCTTCTCCTCTTTTCTTTACGCGAATCCATTCCGCACCAATACTTTCATATTCGGGTGCAAAAAGTATGCCAGTTGGGTCCTGAGGCATCTCTTTAAACGACTCTATCTTCATTTCATGGTAGAATGCGGCTCGATTCAGCATCAGTAACTATATAACAATGAATCTGGACTTTTTCTGAGTTTTACCCTTTCCACTTTTCCTTGAGACAGTCTGTTTAATAACTCAAATATTTGTTATCGACCAAACTTGGGGCATTGATATATAAGAGGTATATTCAAAAGTTTGTAAAGAGAAATTTACCTGTAACAGGAGTAGCACAAACAGTTGACGTTGCAGTGATAAGAAGTTATTACTTTGCGTGGCGTTCTTGAGAAAATCTTTGATCTTCTTTGCACAGTAAACGTTCAGACATACAATGAAAACTAATAGGAGCACTAGGTCAATGGCAAGTGTGAGGTTGAGTGCGTTCATGTTATACTGAAAATACACCTTATGATTCAATACAACATTCTATCCTGCTTCGCATTTCCTAATCCTATGTTCTGATTATTTATTCATTTATTTATTTGTTTATTCACTTGGTGCACTTCTCTGCATTGTCCTTGCGCTTCTGCTATAAATCCTTGATCGCATGAAAGCGCGTAAAATATTAGTGGAACTAGAAAATATACGCCTACTAAAACTGGGAGAATTCTATAAACTACACGCAGTAGTATAATTCGATAAGCTTCATTTATAAATATCTATTACAGTTATGCATTAGTATTACCTCGTGTAACATAATGTACCAGTTAGCTTTATTTATTTTCCTATTTATTTCTTACTTAATTTTATTTCTCTAGTTCTTATTAGTTGTTCTGTCATACAAATATTACGTAGATCATCCATCACTGAAACTTGGCTCACCATGCGAGAGAAGCCAAAAAATGCGTTTTCGTGAATGCTTATCCCAGAAATATAAACTGTATTAGCCACGAAATGAGTAAAATCTTCATTCGGCCAGAACGAGATATATATGTCCAACATTATGTTGAAAATGATGACCAAATTGACGACAGAACCAATCAACAGTATTTTCTGTGTAGAGAATTTCTGAATTAAATGCGCTCTGAAAAGAGTTAAATTATGATACTTATTCTCGGTCGTTTCCGTTTCTCTTCGCTCCTCCTCATTTCCGTTATCTCATTGGCACATTTCGCTATTAGCTTCCTAAACCAATACATCCCACGAAGGGCTTGCTGGCTCAGTAATCAGGGTTTTACCCATACGATGCGACCGAGAGCACGTAGATAGAGCGCTAGAGGCTCGCAAAAGTGGACATCCTATGTGAGGATGCATGCCCACCGTCCTGGTATTTGCGTTTCGAATTCCTCTAAGCTTCCTCATCTCTAAATTGATAATCTTCTTCTGGTGCCTAGTACCCTCCAACTCTTGACGCATTCTTGCAGACTGGCCTAGCGCTCACAGAAAATGTTGCCATTTTCGTCGTTTCCTTTAATTTTTTTGGTTTTCTCTAGGAGTGAAGTAGCGTCTACTACCTACAAGCGAACTCCTCTATGTTTTCCATTCATCGAATAATGTTTCCTCCAGCAGATAGAGGCAAAGCAAAAGCACGTGCCAATAGTAATTTGTTATTGCCTCAAAGAAATTATGTGCACACATTTTTCTAACCTGCACAACTGTAAATAGCGATATATGAAGCTATTTGTAATCGAGAGAACTGCGACAAAAAATGTCATGCAGTAGGTGAAATGCAAAATATATGAGAACGGATGCTGGAGTGTAATACCAGTAGCGATAAATATCATAACGTTGCCTTGTGAAAAATACTCGCTGGAAAATGAAAAACATGAGGAAGCCATATTTGTTTCCGCCAGGAGATCCAGAGTGTTCCGTGCAAATCTTAGGACACCAGATGTCCAAGATAAGTCTACCAACATCGAGGAATCCTCGTTATTATAGGAGCTTTGCCTTCTGGGCTTATGCAGCAAGTCGTGACCACAGATGGGGATAACTCCTCAAAAATTTTTGGGGATATGTGTCCTACGATCGTAAAGGATATTGCCGGCCGAGGACCTTCGTTTTAGAGAAGTGGAGAGGAGAGAGGGTGGTGGGCAGATTCGGTAATAGACTGTGAAAGCCTAGAGCTGAGAGACTAGCATCCTTGAGTTTATGGGAACCTTGATGAAAGTTCGGAATTGTTCTACTAAATATTTTGCAGGAAATTCCGCAAATCTCAGTGCCGTAGGGGTCACAGGTCATTTATTGCTGAGACCTTGATCACGTTTCGCGCCTAAACTATGGTCTCATTGAGGTATATAAACCCCTCGATTGTTGTTATGCTCAGTATTATTCGCTAATGAATATTATGTCTTCTCTACCTCTGGACGCAACAATTAGCGACCAGGATGTACGAACTAACGCGGGAAACCCCAATGGATCAGCGCACCAACAACTGGACAGTCCCACAACAACGACTACTCTTCTGTGACACAAAGAATTGCAGGACAACGCCAAACAAGATCACGACGCGCATTGGAGCGATTGATGGGAGAACCAACAAAGGAGATGACGCTTAGAGCGTCCAGCTTAAAGGAGGAATTTCACGATTAGAATGGAGGTCGAAGAAGGAGTAATTCACCTAGTTGAGGGACCCACGGACCTCCTGAGGGTGCGAACTGACGCGCAATTCGCATCGAAAAATTTGACCTCGGCGACCTATCATGCCTCGGTCTTGGCGCGGCCGGCGGTCTCCGCCCACCATCACTCGCCACAGCAGGGTGAATAACGGTCGAGGAATTCCTCGACCATCGCTCTGCTGTGCGAGAGTAGTGCCGAGAGTGAATGTACGCGCGGAGAGCACAGACGGCTCGCGGGTGGCGAGAATGAATATCCGCGCGCGGATGCAATATTCACCATCGCCACAGGTCTATACGTGGCGAGTGATTAGATAGCAGAGAGAGCGTAGTGTTGAAGAGGGCACAGCGATGAGAGTCGCATCAATGCTCAAATCAACGGGCAAGGAAGGGGTCCCATTTCTCGGGTTCTGGGCCGTTTCTCATGGTTTTCCTTCTTTCGTGTACCACTCACCATCGCTAAGTTAATTTGAAATGGGTTGCCTTTCCAGCGTGAATTCGTCCTTTAAGGTGGAGGTGTTGTAGGGACAGGTCGTTGATACTGCTGAGACCTTGATCACGTTTCGCGCCTAAACCATGATCTCATTGGAGGTATATAAACCCCTCGATTGTGTTATGTTCAGTTTATTCTCTAATAAATATTCTGTCTTCTGCTGCTACCTCTGGACGCAACACTAGAAAAACACAACTTTTGTCCACAAGGAGACATTTGTCTAGAAATATTGGACGCCGTGGTCTAGTTAGTGCGCTCAGCTATAGCGAATGGTCGCCCGTCAAATTGTTTAACACCTAGCTCACACAGTTGCATTTCACAGTGTTCCCTGACTTACCTTTAATGAAGAACTTTGTTTATTAAT